CACACACCAGCTGGCGCAGCGGGGGCAGCGCGCGGGGGCAGCGAGGGCAGCGAGCACACACACACACACACACACACACACACACACACACACACACACACACACACACATATAGGTGTTCTCTCTCTCTCTCTCTCTCTCTCTCTTGTGCGAGGCGCGCGCGCAGCTCCCCGCACCGCCAATCGCCCGTGCGGCACACGCACACACACACACACACACACACACACACACACACAGACACACACACACCTCTCTCTCTCTCTCTCTCGCGCGCGCGCCCGCGCGCAGCTCCCCGCGCCGCACAGGTCCCCAGGGCCCACGCAGCTCCCTCTCTCTCTCTCTCTCTCTCAAACACACACACACACACACACACACACACACACACACTCACAATCAATCAATCAATCAATCAATCAATCAATATCAATCAATCAAAATCAATCAATCAATATCAATCAAGTTTATTTCTAAAACACCTCATACCCCTGCAAAAAACAGAAATTCATTTCTTAAAAATACAGGTGAACTCAGGGACCATATATCTGATGATAAAAAATGACAAAAAAAAATCCAACTTTTCTTTATATATATATTTTTAATGTTTTTAAAATCGAATTTAGTTTTTGATTTTTTTAAAATCCGAAACAAAGTCGGATTCCAAAAAAAGTTAAATGGGGTTGTAGGGCTTAAAATTCCCTACAACCCCATATATATCGTCAAATAGAACTGCCCGGTAAACCGTATGCAGAGAGGGAGAAGAGGACAACAAAAGAGGGGCTGTGACAAACTGTTTCGTCGGAGTTTCACCGACTCATCAGGAGGGTGAAAATTCTGGTAAAATCGGGTCCGCGGCACGGACCAGGTAGGCCGTGGATGCAGACCCGTCTGCGTCCGCCATCCGAGATTGGACCCGCGGTCGCGTCCGCGGGTGTTACATAGCTTACTTTCCCTTTATCGTGCTCTCCATCTCTCCTCCCTGTGTTTATCCCCTCCCCTTCACTCTGCCTCTGTCTCACAGCGTACAAGTGGGATGTTATGGCACACGGGGATGGGGGCAGCTCGCGCTCAACTTCATCAACGTGGCGAGCCTTGTACATTAGAGGCACGGTGAAAGGGGAGTCAAAAGAAGAATGAGAAAAATGAATGGTTTCACTGTGCCCTTCATGTTTGTCTTGTTTTTTTAATTTTTTATTTTTGCCGTTTGTTTTGCAAGTTGCGCTCTTTTAGTTCATAGTTAGGAACAGGATTGCTTGCCAGTGGCCACGGCCAGTCAACACTGGTAACTGGCTGGGGCGAGTTGTGCCGCCCTGTAACCCGTTGCAATGCTGGAGCATCGGGCAAAGTGGAAGTGGCTGCTCAGGTCCTGATGCGTCCGGTCGGGACACACCCAATACACATCCAATAAAAGAGCTCTCCGGTTGAGTTCTCAGTCAGAATCATCATAGCTGACATCCATAATTACGATGCTTATCAGGGTTAAGTTCTCAGCCACAACATAAGCTCAATACGGAAGCTCAATACGCCATGATCATGACACATAATCTACAATAATAACTTCCATAACAATCTCGAATTACCCAGGGCCAGTCACCTGTGGATATATCTCAAGACTGCCGAACTTAAAAAAAAAAAAAAAAAAAAGATCAGGCATGTGCTACGGGATGTGGCCCGGTAGAAACCATCCCTCGTCTCTTTGTGCAGTGCCCGGAGGTCCAGGCATTCTGGCGATGGTGAGCACAGAGGAAGTTGCAGGCATTCTGGCGATTGTTGACAAGGCGGTTGATGCAGAGATCCTTCGGGGAACCCTGATTAAGGTCAACGGACCGGCCTTTGGGCAATCAATGGCGGAAGAGATTGCAAGGGCTGTGGGGTATTATGGGCCTTACGGACATCGAGGAACGAGCAATGCAGGCGAGGCGCGCCGCCGCCGCTGCAGGCATACCAGGAACGTGCTTCGGAGAATATTAGGATCACCCTGTTATTGGATCTTCATCGGTGCCGACGCACAGGGGGGGGGGGGGAGGCTGGGTTCTGGGAAAGATGAAGACCGTATCTGCAACTCTTGACCCAGAAACCTCACACAGGCCAACTGCAGTTTGGCCGCATCCTGGCACGTCATGTTCCTCGGTCGGAGACCAAGGATGACTTGGAATAGTGCAGAGCTCTGATCGACTGAATCAGATTGCACCCTTGTAATGTATAGGGGGTTTAGGCAATAGAAAGAGGTGAGGGGGATGGGTTTAGGGTTTAGGGTTTAGGGTAGGACCGTGGTAGCTGTATCATAGTTAATAGTTAGAAAACACGTCGAATAGAGGAAGCAATAGGGGGAGAGAAGGGTCACGGCGAGTGGTAGGGGGAAGAGGATGGCAGATGGAAGACGGGGGGGGCGGGGATTTCACGGGAGTTTCACAGAGAAGGGGTAAGACCTCGGAAAAGGAGTGGAAAATCAGGCCACATGATATTAAATTAATTTTTTTGGCGTACGGTGTGGTCATATGGGTAAGCTTGCCTACTCGACCCCTGCCTCTCTATTGCACTGCAGCAGAGCGTGGCTCACCCCAGGAAAAAATAAAAAAATAAAAAGTTGGGGCAAGCTGATAACAGAGATTGGATACTGTTCGAAAGGACGGTAGCACGTATGGCGGGTAAGGGACGAGATAAAGTGATAGGTGTTTAATACGACACGAGCAAGGGAAATGCAAGTAGGTGATTTGAGTAGGCCAGTATTTAAGGAAATACGGTGGAACGGTACAACTATACTGTGAGACGCGTGTTCATAGAAATACTTTGGAAGCCCTTTTGGTTTTTCTTGAGATGCTTTGACCACGAGGAGGAGACAAGCGGGCCCAGTGAGACTGCTATGCTCGCCACCCCTGGGGTCCCGCTGCGTGACTGGGTGCTGCTAGTAAGTACGCTTCCCCCGAACATAACGCACCCTGAAAATGAATGTATACAAGGGATGTTTCCGGCGAGGTACAGTCGAAATGAGTTTGTGTTGTGTTCGGGCGGGAAGACGGTAGTAAGCTTGCCAGCCAGTAGCAGCACCCCTGGGAGGCGGGATGACCTGCAGCACCGCCCCCCCCCCTTGATATGTGACTAGTACCGCAAGGGGTTTGGCTGATTTCTATCCCTGTAACCGCCTTGCTTGCTTGCCGGTGATAAGCAACCAGACCGATGCCGGTGACAAGCAACCAGACTGACGCCGCCCCAAATAGAAGGGGCCTTGTGTGTTTTGGTTCGAAGGATCTGTTTGAAGGATCTACGTTATCCTCTGGATGTATCAAATTGATATTAAAAAAAGGGGAAAAAAAAAAGGGAAACGTTAGGAGGACATGTCTTGATTCGAAGGATCTGTTCGAACATCTACAATATCCTCTGAATGTATCAAATTGAGAGGAATGAGAACCTAATTCGTCAGAAGTCGATATATAGTCGCTTAGGGGTAACAAATGAGTCCGTGGGGACCGTCACTAGGTGCAAATTGGGCCTTCAGCATAGAGATCCTCCTGCGAATCTGCTTATGCTGCCTTATGCGCACAGCCAACAACTCGAAATCCAAAAAATCCACATCCCTAGCAACCCTTCAGAAAATTATGAATCAGATCCCCCACCATTCTGTTCCTACGCCATACAACCCTCAACATAGCTTTCCATGCTGATTCAATCTCTACGTCACTATTAGGGTTCCTTGTGTGGTTTCCCTACTGCACTGTTCAGAATCCCACTCAGTTCATGATGTATATGATGTGTGTGTGTGTGTGTGTGTGTGTGTGTGTGTGTGTGTGTGTGTGTGTGTG